ATTTTTGTGGAGACTTCCTTTCTTCACTATAAACTCCTTTGCCATGTAGTAAGCACCCCTATAAATTTTTAAATGCCTCCTGTCCTCAGCATGCCACAAAACAACAGGAGATAAATACATGGACTCAAAAATACTTGAACATATTTCTGGCAAACTGTTTAGGATTGTTTGTAGAATTTTGAGAATTTACCTAATAGTTCAGCTAATAGTAGACACCATTTTAAAGATAAGGACTAAGAATTCATCTCCAAAATTCCTGATATTTGCCTGGAATAGCCTTAACCTTACTAGTCTGCTCATCTCTGATCTTTAAAGACAACAGTACTGTTCCAGAAATAGCCTCAGCTAAGTATGTAGCCAATTCATGTTCTCAAGATCAGGAGCCTCTGTCTCTAGACAATGAGTTTGGGGAAAATGTGACTTAAAATGAGGAAGACAGTCTGACCTAGACTGAAGGTCTTGATATTAATCATGGGTTTGTTTGAAGGGAAGTGAGATAACAGTGACATGTGATATCATCTTATGCAGAAACTAGCTGCCATCTACACTTTCACTGAATGATTTACTCGATGAGACATTCCGATTGACAACTTTGGAGAACATTATGAATAACTAATTAGCCTATCATGATAGAAAAATCCCCTAAGGTTGGTCAGCTGCCGGAGGGCCTGTGGGCATTTAAATACACTCATTGCCTTAACATGAGCACGTGAACTTAAGACAGGAGATTAATTTAATAACCTGAATTGGGAGTAATTTTGAAATTGGTAAGGGTTTGGTATATAAGGTTAACTAGGTGGCTTTTGGTGTGTTGTTTAGAGTAATGCCTTTGTCCCTCATTATTCAAATATATGCATTTACTCACCTTTGTTTGGCTTCACAAACATATGGTAAACATAAGATGTTGTCTCATGAGGTCAGAAAACTAACTTTTCCTGAGGATTGGAACACAGAGATGCAGCTGTGCATACGGGAGTGACTGCCCTCCTAGACCCACCCTCTCCAGCTCTCTAACCTACTGTGCTTACCATGCTACCCATGACCCTTGAGGTCCCTGGGGTAGGCCTGGGATTTTTCAAGTAGGGCCTGTGGGCCTGCAGGGAATCTGAACCCAACCTCTGAAACGAGGCGCTCTGTTTCCTCATCCCACAGTTAATTCATAAAGCTTTTATCTGCCCCAACAAAGGTAATAGCTGTCCTCTCTGCTTGCCACTCTCCCATCTATAGACACAGTGAAAAATGAGAATACTGGCTCAAAGCAGAGGCTGGAAATGTATTTGCTGCCTGGAATTGTTAATGTGAGGAGCTTCCTAAGGGCAAGGAATAGGGATGGTTAGCTGGGGAACAGTGTGTGAGGTGCAGGCAGGTGGGGAGGTGGTTAGAGTGTAGTGAATGCTCTGTGTGAAGGCTTTCAAATGTTAAAAATTAAAAAAAAAAAAAAATAGCTGACCAAGCTAAAATGTCTGCTCACCTTAATAGTGATAACACTTACCGAAGTAAAGAGGAAAATGAGGCCCCAGGCTAGGCATTCAGGAATGGATATGTGATCACACACGCACCTTAACTAGTACAGAGCAAGTCCCTAATACAGATAAGGTCCCTGTATACAATGTACCCTCGCTCCATATGCCTGCAGGAGCAATTTATACAGTTGGCTTTTGGTTCCCCCAAAATCCCCTGTGCAGGTTTCTCTCCTGACCACTCCATCAGGCAGCACGGATGGAACAGCCCCAGCCGACTGCACAGACGTCTCTGTGACAGCTGTCCCAGAGGTGTGTCACTCTCGGCCCTTCTTTATCTCCTTTATTCTTTTTTCTTTTTTTTTTTTTTTTTTTTTTGTCACATCACCGCTGATTGTATTTTGCAAGCATCAGATCTAAGCCACTTATCCTTGTCAACGCATCTGTGGCTGTAGCTGCTAGCCTGCTCATTTGTTTTTATTTCTCTCCTATCACTCTCAAGCCTCGTCACTTTCCTCACACTTCTTAGCCTGTGTTAGGAAAGAATGTGTCAGCCCAGAAATGGACTCCTTTCCACGGGAGGTGTAAAAGTGCTAATCACACAGCTTTAGGACCCTGCTTCGCAGGGAAATGGCCCCCAGTTTGACCAAGGAACTGCCCCTTCCTTGTCATCATCTAAGTGTGTCTCTGTACTTGTCTGGGGGAGGAGATGTAACCCCCACCCCGACACCCCCCCACCCCACTCCACCTCCCCCCATCCCGGGTTGGTGCTGTTTGGTGTCACGTTTTCAAGTAATTTTAGGCCAGGGTTTCCAGCCGTGACTGCACATTGAAATTGTTTAAACAGCTACTAAAAATTCAGATGCCCAGGCCACCCTCCAGAATAATTAAATCAGTATATTCGGGGTGGGACCCAGACATCATTAGTTTTTAAAGTTCCCTAGCTGAATGATTCCAACATGCCTTCAAAGTTGATAAACCACCATTGTAGACTATAATCCTAAACTGCTAGGAAATTGAATTCCAAGTCACAGAGGCTTGATTTCATATTTAAAAACAATGAAACTCTCTAACCAACAAATAAATGTTTGTATGAATCACGTTCTATACTCAACAAGAAAAAAATCAAATAAAACAAAACGTGGTCTAGTTTTTTTTTGTTGTTCTGCTTTGCCCCTGTCTTACAGGAAAACCTAGAAGGTTAAATTAGTTGTTTTTCAAACGAGCTAAATGTAACTATATATAAAGATATATATTCATTGTTATGTTAGTCCCAAACTGAGCACAAGGTTCAGCGAGCATTTTGGCTTATATTTTTAGCTAAGCATAGAGCTTTGGGTCTGGGAGACATTGAGAATTTCAAAATAGTTTGTTACCTAAAAATACACTTCCTGAAATGGAACTTGAGGCCTGAGAGGGATGAATGGGTTTAATTTTTTTCTTCTATATATAATGTTACCACAAGAAAGCAAATTTTAAATTTAAATATATTTATATTTTTAGAGACCCAGGAAACAGGTGTTGTGCCCAAGCAGCAAAGAGGGTTACGTGGTGAAATGTCAGCGACAGAAATCTAAGATTCCCAGGACAGGAAATGACCACGAAGGATTGCAATGGTCCCTTTGGCTTTAGCCAAGAGCCTGCTTTACACAGGGAGAAGGTGGAGAGGCTCTCCCGGCTTTTCCAAGAGTGAGCGGGTGGAGATGTGCACCTTTCCAATGCCTGATTGGCCAGCAGCCAGTCGAGTGCTCTGTGTGTCTGGCTGTCCAGATGCTTAGTCTTTCTTAGTCCAGAACCTACGTGTCTACAATCCTGGCTTTTCGCTGTGTGCTCAATAGCTTCGTCGGACTTGACTCTCTCCAAGGTCATGCTTTTAATTCCCACCGTGACCACTGGGAATGGGGTCATTTATGAAAAAGATGGGGAATTGGATGCTACACCATTTTTTTTTTTTTTTGCCTCTTTGTGAGTGCCCTGTGGGGGGGGGGGGCAGAAGGGCCATGCTTCAACATTTCATTGATGGGTGGGGAATGAAGATTTCATTTATCCTCACATATCCTTTCATTTGAGTGAAGAGACTCTACTCCACTTGGCTTAAAGGGATAAATATGAACTTCTTGTCTTCATCCTTTTATGTAGTCACTTATTCCTTCACTTACTGAATAGATAATTTGGGATTTTAAAAAAAGATCTATTTTTCATTTATCCATACAAGAACTGTGGTGCAGGCCAGAGATGTAGGGGTGAGAGGATTCACCAAAGACAGAGTGGGGGTAGAACAGGCAGATCTACTAAAATACATTGCTGAGAGGTGCAGCAGTCATGACAGGAGAGTCTGCTGTGCCATGTGGGTCACCTCCCTGGCCAGGAGTCGAACTTGTGCTTCAATGGCTGCAGAGAGCTCCATAGTGTTGTGCTTTAAACTATTGCACCACCAGGAAGGGCCCAATTTGGGATATTTTCTGTGTGCAAAGGAGACACAGTGTGAAAATCAGCCCACGGAAGTTGCAGCTAACTAGCGTGTGGGTGGAGAGATTATAAGTGTGAATGATGGAGATAGTTTTGTAGAAAGCAAAAGGGTCCTGAGGTAGTTGTTTGTCTGTTGCTTCAGGAAGAATAAGGGATATTTAACCAGCGTCTAGAAAGATGACAACAAACCAGACAAAGGGAATCATAAGGGGGGGGGGTGTTTGAGAAAAGGAAGGGGTGTGGTAAGACCCACGTGTCCTTAGTGGTCATGGCAAGAGAGAAGAGTTGCTGGTACTAGAGCTGCTGCTGAAGGACTTACTGGGCAGGCAGCTGATTCTGGGCCACTGGGCTGGGACTTGATTTGTACTCACCAGAGGAACCAACCACCACATGGTGTTTGTGATCATGTCTCAGTGACATCAGCCTGTGTTGGTTCATTGACTGATTTCCCTAAAAGGATAGAAGTCAGAGCCAGTACCTGGCAAACAAGGCACCAATGGGTTGCAGGTGGTACATCAGTCAAAGATGGCAATGCCCCGCTTGACCTCCAGTGCCCCTTCTGCGTTGGCCAACTCCCTTTGAATGTCCCAACTCTGCTCCTTTATGATCTCTCTGTTCGTCTGGGTGTGTCTTATCTGACTCCACATCCTCTTTGTTTCTCTCTATTTTGGGTTACCCTTCCCTGCGCTGTTTCCTCATCTATCCACCCAAACAAACTATAATTTCCTCTTGTACTTGTCTTTGTGCTCCCCAAACCCAGCACTCTGCAATCCAGGCTTCTTTATTGAATGATAAGGCTTTTGTAGACCGAAAGCCTCACAATGACAAAGGCAAGAAGTTACTCAAACTTCCTCCCACCCCAAACTCCATTGCCATACAATGGCTTTTATAACAAATTGCCTACATGAGGGAAACTGTAATCTGATGTGAAGACAAAATTTCACCTTTCTCAGTATTCAGCGAGGTGACATTAAGTTTGCTTGAAATTGCATCGCATCATCAGGACTTGATTGGCAGACTTTCCGGCAGGGTAGATTATTAAAAGAAATAATCATTTCTTTTTCCTTTCAGTTAATAATGACGTGGTTGTCACAGACAATGATGCATACAAGATTCCACAGTTGTGTAAATTTTGTGATGTGAGAATTTCCACCTGTGACAACCAGAAGTCCTGCATCAGCAACTGCAGCATCACTGCCATCTGCGAGAAGTCCCACGAAGTCTGTGTGGCTGTCTGGTAAGGTTGGCTTCTTGAAACTTCAGCTTCTCCCCTTGTGGAAGTATTGCACACTTGGGGGACAGTCAGTGTGTCTGAAGCCCCTAGAGTAGATGCCTATCCCGTTTCTCTCTCCTTGAGGCCAACTGACTTCCAGTTATTCAATCTTGTTTCCAGAGTTATTTTATACAATTCAAATGCACCCAGACCAGTGTGTCTATATGTGTGTCTGTGTGGCATGTGTGACAGCATAAAAACACCTTTTGGGTTTGTAATAAATCTGGAAGCCCTTCCAGATGCCTGCAGCAAGGTGAGGGGTTGCCTACTATTAGCTATTTAACGGACTCTGTCTTCCCCCACATGCTCCATCGTACTAGCAGGAGATTTGTTCTTAGTCCTTTTTTGTGGAGAGTTTGTGAACAATGGGCAGTTGGGATGGGAAAGGCAGTTGCCAAAGAAGGAGAAGCTACTCAGGGATCCTGAAAAATAAGCCAATCCTCCACTGCTAGCAGGCAACTGCCACACTGTCCTCTGGATGGAAACAACATGTTTCTCCTAGATCAGATTCCCTTTGCTGTCTCTTATCCACATTCCCCATCTCTACCACCCCGCACACATACACACTCGCACAAGGTTGCTCATGAATGACTTGCTTAATTCATGGTTACAGATTGGGACTATCAGCAAGAGGTAAAAGAAAAAAATTCAAGATCCTTAAAAGAGCCCCCACTTTATAAAAACTGTACATTCATTAATGAAACACAGCATTTTTCTGACTTACTCTGATCTTTCAAATTATCACCTTTTTCCCCCCACCCCCAAGTAACTAGTGTGTCTCCTGGCCTGTTGACAAATGAAAATATAAACCAAATATGTTCCACCCTCTCAGGGAGTCTTTCAAAGATTTTTTTCCAAACCACAGACAGTTGGCCTTGATGATAGATCTGAAAACCTTGCAAACTTTCATACATACCAGAGGATGAATGCATTTTTAAAGAACTAAAGGAATGTTAACAGCAAAGACCTGTCATGGTAGCTGGCTGTACCTGCCACCTTCTTCCATGTCCATTTCTGAGGAGAGCTTTTGAAAAGGGATCCTGGCAAAGAGATGTGAAAAGGAACAACACCTGTTTGCCTGCAAGTTGAGAAAGCCTGCATCTGAGGAATGACCAAGGCAGACAGTCATGTTCACCTGCAGAGAGTGGACACAGGTTCTGTTGAGAGGTATTTGAAAGCCTCTCGTGTGGAACATGTAATGATCATGCTCTGTGTGCCTCTGAAGGGCAGGAGGAAGGTCGGAAAATTTGCAAAGGGGACAGACCTGTGCTCGGTAATGGCTTCCTAGCCAGTCAAACAGACTTCCTCTTCTGGAAGAGTCAAATAAAGTTCAGGAAAGGCTGGAACCATCTGGCACATCCAGTGCAGGAAAAAATTGAGGCCCCAGATTAGATCCCTGCAGGGCTTTCTTCTTTGGGTTCATTTTCCACTGGTCCTCCTGACTCAGTAGCCACTATGAGTGTGAGAGCATATTTGCATCTCTGATTTGAGGCTCTTTTAATTAGTATATTTTCCCCTGACCTGCAGTACAATCCAAATGACTGAATGTGAATCGAGTCTCTCTGTACAGAGACTTCGCTTGTGTCAGGATATGTCAGGCTATGGGGCAGGAGAAGCCTCTATGTCTCTCTGTGTCCCAGCTATAGAGCGCGAATGCGGTGAATGTCAGTTTTGACCTGGGTTGGCCATGGACAAGACTCCTTGGAGTGGATCATGTGGTGCAACTCCCGAGATCCCCTTGGGATCCACCCCTTCAGCAGCTGGTCCACTAACTGCAACCGCATCACTGCAGCACAACCCTCTCCACTGGCCAGAGCTGCTTCACTCAAGGTGGACCTCTCCACATGGCCCCTATTCGGGCCAGCTCTGTCCAGCCACCCTCAACCTCCCACTTTCTGGGGATCAGCTGAGTCTTGCTCATGTTCAGTGCCTGCTCTGTGCAGTCCTGCCTGCTTCAGGCCCTGAGAGATGCTTCTCCACACACATCCTGCACAGAACACTATTAGTAATGCCTGGCCCTAGAGAACCCAAGCTAACAGAGGAGTCTCTTGTAGAAAGAGCCAAGTGCAAAAGCACAAGGCTCTGCCATGCACGTCCACTGCCCTGCTTTGCTCAGCTTCAGTGTCCTTTCCATTCGTTGGTTGACTCTTTGCTCATTTAACTGATCAGTTATGTACCCACAGAAATACTTAGGAACCAACATTAATTTGACTATGGTGGTTCTTTTTAGCGGATATTAACAACTTCATTGACTCAGAGCAAATATTATGACATGAAGAAGTCTGTATTTATTTCATGGTATTTTCTCTTCCTAGGCTCAGATGTATCTAAACTTTGCCTATTAGGGAGAGCATTGATATAGGAGTAAGCAGAGAAAGTAGCAAAGGGATTTACCCAGATGCAAGTATTATGATTATTTCCTCTCTGCAGATCTAGTGTCTAAACAGCCAGAAAGTGGGAGGCAGGAGACTAGGAATAAGGCAGCCAGTGATCAGAGAGCAACTCTATCTTAAATAACAACCCTGTGCACATGACTGTACACACCCATGCGCGCACACACACACACCTGTTGGGGCAGAGAGGAAGGTGGTCTTATTTTTGCAGGTTTTCCCATAGATTTGGGATTAAGAATAAATATATTTGTGAGTACAGGGTACCCCTACTAGCCAAAATTTTTGTAATCCAAAATGGTGTAAATGGAAAAAGCAATGACCATTGAGTTAGATGGGAAAACAAACACAAAAATAAGCTACTAGATAACACGTAAAGCCTAGAATAACAGAGAAAAAGCAGGAGTGGCCTGAGACAGACACAGCTACAAGGACTCGTCCCCCGGAAGGAGCAGGGTGACGCCCATTGTGCTGCTCAGGGCACAGGGCTCTGGATGGCCTGTGCAAGGCAAACACTGATGTTTTGGCTTTTTGCCTTTTGTTGTAAAAATGAAGGTCCCCTGTGGATTTATTTTGCTTATGAAAATAGGCAATGATAGAAGCCTTTGTAAAATCAAAGTTGCACAACGTGAACTTTTGAAATGCAGGGGGTACTTAAATATATCATCTGTTTGTGATTATGCCAGGGTTTGCTCAATTCCCTACTGGCACCCCCTAATTAAGGATTCCCACTCTTGCTCCTCCTTTAACAGCGGGGGGCTTACTCAGCAAGGGTTTACCCTGTGCCTGCTGAGGTGCAAGTTGGAGAATCCTTGAGCATTTTCAACAAGGAGCTCACTCACCACTGCTGGAGTCAACCCTGGGTTCCCTTCCTGGCTGATCCATCCCAACCCCCTATACCTGCTCTTGTTAATGCCGTGTAAGCCTTTAGCATCCTCGAGTTAAGCAATAAGCTGTGGGACTAGTCAGCATTGCTCTTGGGAAGTGAGGCGATGGTCCCGTCTTGTTCTTTAGGAAAGTTTCTCTTGGTTCTTGCCCAGTTTTATGTGTCCTCAGCGGTGAGTTTGTGCATGTCAGGGCAGAGGGGGTTGGTGAGCACCCACGAGCATATGTGAGCATAGAACACACACATACAGCATGCTATGCTGCAAAGCTTTCTGACCAAACATGTCAGGAAAAGCCCAAGAAAGCTTCCCTAGACCCCCCCCACACACACACACCTCCAGAGACAAACTTTCAAGACCACAGGTGTTTTGCATCAGAAAGGGTAAGCTTTTCAGAGGAGGAGAAAAGATGTGGTCAGTCCAGTCCTGACGCTGGACAGTCAGCCAGGACAGCTAGTGTATGAGGAGAGCAAAGGGAAACAGGCAGAGAATAATGCATAGGGGTGCCAGATTTTTCATTTGGCTTTTGCAATTATAATAGAGGGCATTAATCATGTTGTTTTTAAATGTAACATGCACAGCAAGCCAACTGAGTACTTCCTGGGGCCCAAGTAAAATGCTGTGTGAGCCACTGACTGGGCCCGAGCTGAGAGAAGTTCCAGTTAGTGCAATGAAGGGATAGTAAGTGAAGAAGTCATTAGTTTATGACAGCATCAGATATGTCCCTGAACTGTAAGTGAAAAACACCTTACACTTCTCTCCCATGCATTTTAATGTTTCCCCCACTTCTGATCCTTTCTGTAATTTGAGAAACAACAGCTCTTTACCCAGGAAGCTTCTTCCGCTTTCTCATCACCACCAACTGCTGAGCGGGAACCTGTCCTCACACACTGTATCCTGGGGCCTCACAAACAGGGAAAGAGGAACTGCAGTGACTTTCCCAGACAGGCTCTTTGAGAACAGTTCAGCCAGACGTGACCCCGATCCTGCCGAATAAACTGGGGGCCCTACAGACATGCGGGTGGAAGGCATCCACACCTCAGGGTCTCGCCTTCTGCTCTTTCCCATGCCCTCCCCTTTCACTCAATTCAGATTCGGTGTTTTAAAACCCTCTAAGAGGAGAAGGGTGGGAAATAAAGGGGTCAGAACTTAGGCAAGAACTTCAGTAATAGTCATAGAGCATGAGAAGCAACCTCAAAACTTTGAACTCAGAGCTCAAAATTTCTGAGAGGGAGACAGCCATATCTTAGGGTGATGGGGATAAATACTTTCATGTGTCGAAAAGAAGGAGTGTGAGCTAGGTATTCCAGCATTCAGATCCTAGAATAGTTTACACACGAAGAGGGAGAAGGGCTGAAAGATTATAAGCAAAATGTTCACAAACTCTGTTAGAAGTAGAAGAGAAATATGAGTGATTTCGCTTTTCTTTTGCTTACTTATGCTTTGCAATTTGTCTGCAGTGAATATGTGTTTTTTTTAATTTTTTTTAAAGATTTATTTATTTATGCATACAGAACTGGGGTACAGGCCAGAGATGTGGAGGGTGAGAGGCTTCACCAGAGACAGAGTGGGGAGCAGAACAGGCAGATCGACGAAGTACACTGCTGAGGGGAGCAGCGGGCGGGTCAGGAGAGGTCTGCCACACCATGTGGTCACCTCCGGGGCAGGCGGGAGTCGAACTCATGCGGAAGCCGTCTTAGATTCTCAGTGCTGTGCTTTAACCCGCTGCGCCACCAGGGAGGGCCAATATGTGTTATTTTTAAAAATATAATAAAATCAAAAGTTCCTTAAAAAAATTTACCCAAATAATAAAATCCTCCAAAGGGCAGCCCTCATGTGTGAACTAATGTAAGTAGGGACTGAGACGAAGCCAAAGAATAGCTGAGACACATAGAAACACACCAGAGACTGCGGCACAGGCTTCAATACCTGCGAACAGACACCAGCTGCCCCAGTTAGAAATGACTTCATGAAAGCAACACAGTCCAGACTCCTTTTCTGTCCAGAGCCCGTCGTCACCTGTTCTTTTTCTCTCTCCCACCCCGTGACCCCTACTCTGCAGGAGAAAGAATGATGAGAACACAACACTAGAGACGGTTTGCCATGACCCCAAGCTCAAGTACCATGGCTTTGTTCTAGAAGATGTCGATTCTCCAAAGTGTATTATGAAGGAAAAAAAGATGCACGGCGAGACATTCTTTATCTGTGCCTGTAGTGCTGAAGAGTGCAACGACAACATCTTCTTTGCAGGGGGTGAGTTTTCCTGGCTTCTGGGGGTGGGGCGGGGGGGACGTGCTGGCGAGGGGGCCCACTGGGGCCTGCTTCCTCTATGAAGATTTCCTCTGTTGCCAGTCTACAGCCTCAGAGGGCATCCTTCTGCGGCTGACCTGTGTGCTTGCACTCTGCGGTTAGCCGCCCTGCCTCGACTAGAAAGAGGTGCTTAAGGAGTAAGAGAGTTGGTTCAGGTCCTTATCAAATCTGCCTCAGAACCTTTTTGACCAGTAATTTTTTTCACTTAGAGCAGTGGTTCTCCAAGTTCAATGCCTGAAGCAGCTGCTGACCTGAGACCTTGTTAGAAATGCACATTCTGGGTCCCCAGGCAATGCGATCCCAAATTCTGGGTGCAGGACCCAGCAATCTAGTGTAAGAAGCCCTCCAGGTGATTGTTATGTAGATGAAATTTGAGAACCATGGGACTAGAGACTGGAGGAAGCTGTTTGAATCTAGAACTGCTCTTGCTTTGAATTAACTCGAAGTTTTGTGTGCATTTTCCTAGGACTTGTCCATTTTAGAGAACTGAAATGCAGAGAGAAAATACTGAGCCAAGATTTACCCCTGGAGACAGGGAGGACTAGATTAGATACTACTCCCCTTGTTTGAAGTTCAACAATCATTGAGACTGAAAGGAGGGCACAAACTAATCTTTCAATTTAAAATAGGACTCCATGATTTTTTACTTATGAAAGCAATATGTGTTCCTCATCAAAAGTTCAAATAATCAGCAGTATGTAGAATTTTTTAAATGAAAGTTTACCTCACTCCCATTCCAACTGATAAACAATGTTGGGTTGCAAATTGCAGGGTTGCAAATTGTTAAGTACACCCTTCCCTGTCATCCTACGTCTTTTTCTTTTTCCGCTTTTGCCTTTCCCTAGTCGCTCCCTCTCTCCCCTCCTTCCCTTCCTTCCTCTGTCCATGCGTCCCTGCACTGCCCATCCATGTGTCCTTTTCATTTGTCCATCTGCCCATCTAGCCATCCATCCCATCCTCTTACCCATTTTCCAGGCAAGCAAATAGTTTATTCTATAAATATTTTTTCAACTTTTTTTTGCAGCCAACCACTTTTACTCTTCCTTCTAAGCAAGACTGTGCATATAGAGAAACTGCACACTTTTTCATTCCTTCTGGAATGCCATAATATAGATTGTCTTCCAACTCATCTACCCAATCTCCTGTTAGTGAATTATTTAGGTGCTTCCACTTTTCTATTTAATGCCACACTGAATATATTAATAGACTATACTATACATTTGTGCTAATAATTCTGCATGATTTCTGGAAGTGAAATTTCTGTGTCAGAACTTATGCACACTTTAAATTCAGATGACCGCTATGAAACACCTGCCCTCTGCCAAATGTCTGGGCATATGGATTTCCACCATCTAATTATCACCTCTACTACTGGAGATTGTGAACCTTTTAATTTTGCCAGTATAATAGTGAAAATCATATTCTTTAGATAGTATGAATGAAAACTCAGAGTAGGTCCGATTCAATATAAAAAAATCCCTTGGGACACAGTGTTGTGTCTACACCCTAGACAATACTCCGGTGTGTCCCATGCTTTGTGTGGAGGTGGCACTAGTGCTGCGGCCCACTCTCGTCCCTGTGTCCTTCAGCAGCTCCCTTCTCTACCCATCCGGTCCCCACCTGGGCTGAATTTTCAGTACACAAAATCAGTCATGTACATGTTGGCATAGCACTTTGCAAAATGATTTGTCTCCCCTCTTATTTTTACTTTTCAATTTTTTAATTATTTATTTTTAATTTTTTTA